TCAGCTACAGCGCTGGGATCAGCGCGTGCGAAAAGGGCGAACAGTGGCAGTGGGCTCTGGCTCTCCTCGGAGAGATGCGGGAGGCGAAACTGGAGCTTGACGCCATGAGCTGGAACGCTGGGATTAGGGCGTGCGATAAGGGCGAGCAATGGCAGCGGGCCTTGTCGCTACTCAGGGAGATGCGCGGGGCGAAGTTGGATCCCGATATTACCAGCTTTCACGCTGGGATCAGCGCGTGTCGGGGACGCGGGCAATGGCAACGTGCCTTGTCAGTGGTCCGCGAGATGCGGGAGGCGGAGTTGGATCCCGACGTCGTCAGCTACCGCGCTGGGATCTTCGCATGCCAGGAGGGTGGACAGTGGCAATGTGCCTTGTCGGCTCTCAGCGAGATGCGGGAGGCGAACTTGGATGTCGACGTCCTCAGCTACCGCGCTGGGATCAGCGCGTGCCAGAAAGGCGAACAGTGGCTACGTGCCTTGGTGCTGCTGGGCGAGCTGTGGGAGGCGAAGTTGGAGCCCGAAGTCGTCTTCTCAATGGTTTTGTAGGCGCACGCGCATGCTTGAAGTGTCTGGCGTGATTGGGCGGGCCGGGATCCGCTCGGGGCGCCCTACGAGCCCTCCGTGGGGCACTCCACGACGGCTCCGGAGGGACCCCGATGGCCCCAAGGCCCCAGGCGGCCCCAGGACGGCTCAGAGATGCTCAAGAGAGCTCCAAGACGGGCCAAGAGAGCGGCTCAAGAGAGCTCCAGGACGGGCTCCAAGACCCGGAGGGAGCGGGCCCCGCGACGAGCCCAGGACCATCCCGAGACGGCCCAAGAAAAGACCCCGACGACGCCAGGGCGAGGCCCCGATCACATGTTCTCCTTCTGTCTTTGCAGGGTTTTCGCGCTCCTGCAACTTCGGGCCAAGGACGTCCCCGGACGGCCCCGCGGACCAAGAGCGGCCTCAAACGGCCCGAAGACAGGCCCCAGAGGCCCCGAAGAGGGCTCCCCAGAAAGGCACGAGATCGTTCGGAGAACGATAGGATGGGCCCGGAGTGTCCTGGAGAATTTTGTTCCGGATTTCGAGGTGAATTTCGAGCGGATGTTTGTGGGCCAGGAATGAAGACCAAAACACATTTCGCTTCGTTTTTAGAGCGCCGTTTCGGGCACAAATCCATGCAGAAATCCGCTGCAGCACGTCTGCAAGGCCAGTGCAATGAGACTTCGCCCTCCGCCACTTTCCCAGTATGGTCGACGTGGGTTTCCTTGATCTGCGCAAGGCTTCCATCATGAGCTTCCATGAGTTCTTCCGCACCTTCCGCGGAGGTTAGACGGTGCGGAAGGGGGAGGGGGGGGGAGTGAGCCCGCAGATGGCCTCCGGACGGCCCCAGGCGGCTTCAAGACGATGCAGATGGCTGCATCACGGCTCGAGAGAACCCCGAGAAAGCTTCAAGACGGCCACAGAGTCAATCAGTGGCGAAGCGTTTTGGCTGGCCTATAGGCCTACCAAAGAATATTCTAAGAACCTTTTGGGGTCTGCACGAAGTGTTCTTAGAACATTTCTGGCTGGTACTGTCCTGTTTTAACACATCGGGCTTATGTTCTAAGAACATTGTTTTTGTTATTATAACATGTTTGGGTTCTAAGAACATGGCGTTGTAGGCCTATAGGAATGCCGGGACGGTCGCTCCCTGCTCAACAGAGGGCCCGAATGGAGGGCCACGTGGCTCCCAAGAAGCTGGCCCCTGAGGACAACCGACGACGGCCCGAGGCTGCCAACACCATACGTTTTCCAAAGGTTCTTAAAGGATTTGAAGGGGTTCTCGCCATCTCGGGCCAAGAACGGCCGAGAACGCCTTCAGGAGCCTGCCAGATCGCCTCCAAATGGCCCAAGAGGCCCTGACGAGGGCCGGAGACAGCGCAGAGGGCCCCCACGGACGGTCCAAGAGGGCCCCAAGGCGGCCCAAGAGAGCCCCAAGAGGCCCCTCAAAGGGCCCCACGAGAGCCCCACGAGGCCTCGCAGACGGCCCTGAGGGGCCCACAAAGCGTTTGAAGACGGTCCGAGAGGACCATCATGGCCCCAAGACGGGCCCCAACAGTTCTCCAGGACAGCCCCAGAGGGGCCTAAGAAGAGGGCCCAACATAACTCAGTCGTTCTCGACGCACAGCGGAGCCTGGGTGCTCGTCTCCTGGTGCCAGCTTTTTGGGCCCGCAGGTCCCGGCTCCGCCCGAGGTCTTCTCTGCGATGCAGCGACCCTTTGCGTGCGAGCAGGTGCTTGTCCCGCAAAAGGCTCCCCGCGCCCTCCGGGGCGCCCTGCGGGTCCCCCGGGCGCTCCGAGACGGCTCCAGGGGGGAGGAGGAGGAGGAGAGGAGGAGGAGGAGGAGGAGGAGGAGGAGGAGGAGGAGGAGGAGGAGGAGGAGGAGGAGGAGGAGGAGGAGAGGAGGAGGAGGAGAGGAGGAGGAGGAGGAGAAGGAGGAGGGGGCCCCCGAGATGCCCCAACACGGCTCAGGGACATGCAAGAGGGCGCCTGGACGCCCCAAGAGGACCCCAAGCGAGCCCCAGGATGGCCCCCAGGACGAGGCTGGAAGTTCGATGCTCCCCCAGAGATAAAGCACCCAAAGCCTCTTGGGGGCCGTGTGGGGGCCTCTTCTCATCCTTCTGGGGGTCTCTCGGAGCCCTCTTGGGCCGTCTCGGGTGCCTCTTGGGTCGTCTCGGGCGCCTCTGGAGCCGTCCTGGGGCCGTCTCGGGCCGTTTTGGGGCCCTGCAGGGGCGTCTGGGGGCGATCTAGGGGGCCTGTACAGCAGTTTGGGGACTGCAGACGGGCAGAAGGAACATATGAAAAGATACGTTTTCCGAAAGGACTGGGACAATTATTGCATCTTAGGGTTCTCCTGGGGGTCCTCCTGGGCCGCCGTCTCGGAAGCCTACTGGCCTGCCTTGGAAGCCTCTGGGGCCATCCTGGGGCTCGCTTGGGGTCCTCTGGGGGCGTCCAGGCGCCCTCTTGAGCTTCTCTGAGCCATCTTAGGGCCATCTTGGGCCGTTCCTGTGCGCTCGTGGGGCTGTCTTGGGTGCCTCTTGGGCCGTCTCGGGCGCCTCTGGAGCCGTCCCGGGGCCGTCTCGGGCCGTTTTGGGACCGTCTGGGGGCGTCTTGGGGCGATCATGGGGGCCTGTACAGCCAGCCGTCTTGGATACTGCGCAGACGAAAAGAACGGACATAGGAAGCATGTGTTTTCCAAGAAAGGACTGGGACGATTTTTGCCTCTTGGGGCTCTCCTAGGGGTCCTCCTGGGCCGTCTCGGGAGGCTCCTGGCCTGCCTTGGAGGCCTCGGGCCATCCTGGGGCCCTCTGGGACTCTAAAGTGAGCTGGGCGTTGCATGTGTGTGGGAACGAACGTTTATCCGCGGCTGCTTGGCTCAAAGCGGCCGACAGCCCAGATCTGACTACACCTCAGCGCGAGGTGTACTATTTGCCATCGATGCCAAAAGACTGCTTGAGATGGCTCGCCCCCTACTACTGGGAATCGGTACTACGGTACAACAGAGCGGGGGCTTGGCTTCGCCTACGGCGAAGCTGTTGGTTGGGCCTCCCAACCCCCTTTCAAACTCTGGGAACCAGCTCTGGGCCTTCTGGGGACCTCTTGGGGCGGTGCGTTCGATAGGTCGATACCGAGGCCCTTCTTAGGGAGCTCGTGGGGCCCTCTTGGGTCGCTTGGCAGGCCTCTTGGCCCGTCCTGGAGACCTCTTGGGCCGTCTCGGCGCCCTGCTGCGGGGGACGCTCCATTTCCACGCCCACACCAATGGCGGGCCGAGTCCGCGGCCAGAGGGCCGCGGGCCAGCCCTAGTCGGCTACAGCGTTGGGGCCAGCGCGTATGAGGAGGGCGACCGCTGGCAGCAGGCTCTGGCGCCACTCGGCGAGATGCGGGAGGCGAAGCTGGAGCTCGACGTCGTCAGCTACGGTGCCCGCATCAGTGCGTTCGGTGCACGTGGGCAGTGGCAGCGGGCGTTGGCACTCATCGCCGACATGCGAGAGGTTCAGGTGACACCGAATGCGGTCTGCTGCAATGCTGGGATCAGCGCGTGCGGGAACAGCGAGCAGTGGCAGCACGCCATGGCGCTGCTCAGCGAGATGCGGGAGGCGAAGTTGGGGCCACAGGTCATATCGTTTGGTAGCGAATCATGTGAGCCTCGTGTACCCGAGTAGTAAGTCGGGCACGTCCCTCGCTACAGGAGGAATATTCAAACATAGTCAAACATAGTCGTGGGACTACTATTGGAGTGTGTTTAAGCATCTGTGGTGCATGTTTTGATTATTTTTCATTTGTCGTCCAAAATCCCCCTGTAGGGGGACATGCCCGACCTAACCCGAGTACTTCTGTCTTTAGATTGCACTAGCGTCGACTAGCCTCTTGGTAATCGATGCATCAATGCCGATTGAGCGTGGATTTGCGACGATGAGCGTCGATTTGCATCAATCTAGCGTCGATTGGCGTCGCTCTAGCGTGCATTAGCGCCGACGAGCGTCGATTCGCAAGAGCCAGTAAGATGGTATGGGAGGCTCTCGCGAGTTGCCGCGCAGAAGAGTTCTGCTGCAATACCCTGCGCGTGCCGAAGCAGTGTTCGGTGGCAGCGGTGCCGACCCCCCCGCCCCCTCCCTCCGGGGCCCTACTGGGCGGGTCCTCGCAGCAGCTCCGCGCTAGCTACGGCGAGACTCCGAGCCGCCCCCCCCGGAGGTCTCCAGGGTCGCCCAGGATGTTTCCGAGAGCCCAAGATGGCCTCCAGATGGCCCAACCTCTCGGCATCGCTCGGGCGTGCGCCGTGTACATCGGCGAGGGCCATCGAGGAGCATCCTGGATCATCGAGCAAACAAGCACACGCACGAACACGACAGATGCACGGGGAATGGACGTCCGAGCGATGGCGAGACGTGGAGCCCAGATGGCCCCGCCTGGGGCCCAAGCACGGTCCAAGAGGGCGAGAGGCGCCCCAGGTCGACATCGTCGAGCTCGTATGGGTTTGGGAAAATCTGATTGACTCCCTCGCCTTCTCGGGCCCCCGACGCTCCAGGAGGCCCCCGCACCGCCCAGGCGCGGCCCGAGAGGCCCCCCGGCGACCCAGTGCGAGGCGGCTTCCAAGAGGGCCCCACGAAGAGGGGCCCCGCGCCGCGCAAGGGCCCCCGAGGCCGCGCTGCAGGCCCCCAGAGGGGGCTCTCGAGGAGCCCCGGACACGGGGGCCCCCCGAGAGGCCCGGGTGGCAGGCCCTGGGACGGGGCCCATCCGAGGCCCCCCTTGCGATGCTCCAGGGCACCCCCAAGAAGGCGCCACGAGGCTCGGGGCGCTGGTGGGCTCCTCGGGGTGCCGGTGGGCTCCAGTCAGCTCCTGGTCGGGGCCTCCTGGTCTGGAGCCTCATCTGTGGTGCTGTCGCTTTCGCTCCTTTCTCCGCGCGGGGTGGCGGACTCTGGGACTCTCGTGGGGAGGCGGTCTGGCCGCGGGGCGTGAGAAATTAAATATTCACTGCGTGGAGCTCCCCATATGTGCATCTATTCGCATGGACCTGTCCGCCGTGAATGTCTAGGCGCAAGAGCTTTCGAATATACACGGGCTTCAGTTGTGACGGTCTGGACATAAATCTAACTGCGAATGAATTGGAGTGTGAATGAGCCTCAGTAGTACGAGCGCGTCTTTGTGCATGAGCCTGGGGCCTCCTGGGGCCTCCTGAAACCTACTGGGGCTTCCTGGGGTCTCCAGGAGCCTCTTGGGGCCTCCTGGGACCTCCTAGGGAGGTTTCGTGCCCCAGGAGAGGCGCAATCTATAGCAACATACGTACATAAAACATTGCGGATTAGAGCCACAGGAGAAGGGCAATCTATAGGAACACGCGTAAAACACCAAGGACTCGTGCCCCAGGAGAGGCCCAACATATAGGAACATAAGTAAAACATGTAGGATTGTGTACACAGGAGAAAGACAATATATAGAAACATACGTATAACATCAAAGAATCGTGCTCCAGGTGAGGCCCAATCGATGGGAGCATACGTAAAACACATGGGATTGGAGCCACTCCTGTTGCCTTCTGAGGCCTCCTGCTCCTGGGGTCTCTCGGGGCCTCCTGTTGCCTTCCGAGGCCTCCTGGCGCTTCCTGTTGCCTCCTGGGGCCTCCTGTGGTTTCCTGAGGCCTTCTGGAGCTTCCTGGGGCCTCCTGGAGCCTCTTGGGACATCCTGTGGCCTCTTGAGTCTTTCTGTGGCCTCCTGATGCCTCCTGGGACCTCATGTGGTCTCCTGGGGCCTCCTGGAGCCTGTTGGAGCCTCCTGTGGCATCCTGAGAAGAATCTGCGCCCACGAGCCTGGCCACCAAAACAAGCAAACCGATCGAGACATCCTCAAAATCTGGCCCACCTGGGGGGTGAAAATGAGCGCCTCGCTCGAGACATCCTCCAAATCTGCTCCGAAAGCGAAGGATGTTGGGACAGAAAACAGGCAAACCGCTCGAGACGTCCCCACAAAATTCCGCGAACGGGACCCCGTGATATACCCCCCGCCGCTCCCCTTAGGAACGTGAAAATGAGCGTCTCGCTCGATCCAAATCTGCTCCGAAAGCAAAGGATGTTGGGACAGAAAACAGGCAAACCGCTCGAGACATCCCCACAAAATCCCGCGAAAGGGGCCGAGTGCAATACCCCCCCGCCGCTCCCCTTAGGAACGTGAATGAGCGCCTCGCTCGAGACATCCTCCAAATCTGCTCCGAAAGCGAAGGATGTTGGGACAGAAAACAGGCAAACCGCTCGAGACGTCCCCACAAAATTCCGCGAACGGGACCCCGTGAGATACCCCCCCGCCGCTCCCCTTAGAGTGCTGAGACGAGCGAATCGCCTGAGACATCCTCAACATCAGTGTGTGTGTGTGTGAGAGAGTCATCCGGTGAGTGGACCTGAGTGAGTGTAGTGAATGTATGAGTACAAGTACGAGTGAGTCTGAGTGATGATTGAGTCTGAGTGATGAGTGAGTCTGAGTGATGAGTGAGTCTGAGTGATGAGTGATGAGTCTGAGTCATGACTGAGTCCGAGTGATGAGTGAGTCTGAGTGATGAGTGAGTCAGAGGAGGTGAGGGTGTTCCTGTGTTCCTCGGCGCGGTCTGCCAATAACAAGAACCCCATCTCTTTGGATATGGGGAAAAAACGCCTCCAAGAGGCTTCCGAGGGAAGACTCCGCAGAGAGCTCTGGGGCCGCGCCAGCCACCCCAGAAGAGGAGACCCCAGACAGGATGGCGGCGTAACAGAAGTCAGGACGGGCAGTGTTTGGCCGATGTCGGCCTCGGGGGGCCCCCGCCGGGCCTCGGGGCCCTCCCAAAACAGCCCAGGCTAAATAGCCGGTCCCGGGGAGAGGGCTCGACGCCCTTCGCGCCACGCTCCTCGATGCTCGCCGCCCTGGCCTCGCTCACTGGCTCCTCGCCGCTCACTCCTCCCTCGCTCCTCCCGCCGCCCTGCTGCCTCCTCGCTTCTCCCTCGTGGCCAGTGAAGCCTGCCTCCCCCCCTTCTGCCCTTCTTCTCTTCGGCTCACCCTCGTCCCTCCCTGCCCCCCTCTCTCTCTCTCTCTCCTCGTCCGTCGCTCCTTCTGGATCGCCCCTTGCTCATCGCTGATCGCTCCTCCCTTCGCCCCATCTCCCCCTCGACACTGACTTCTCGCCCCTTGCTCATCTCATCGCTCAGGGGCTGCAGGTTGCGTCAGCAGGCACGGGCACCAAGAAACAACAAGCAGCAGCAGCTGCAGCAGCAGCAGCAGCGGCAGCAGCAGCAGCGGCAGCAGAAGCAACATTCCGCAAGCAGCAGCACCCTGCAGCTGCAGGCAGCATCAGCAGAGGCGAAGGTCGGGCCCAACGTCATCACGAAAGCAACATTCGGCAACACCTCTGCCCTGGCCCAACGTGCCATCTTGGACAGACTTCGTGGCCAGTAGGACACGGGTACACACTTGTCACTAGTCTTACCTACGCTGCAGGCGTTCGTGCGTGCGAGAAGTGCCTGCGGATCAAGACCTGGAAAAACGCCCCCAGGCGCCTCCGCCGAGCTCGAGGACAGGGCCGGACCTGAACGGTATCTTGGCGATTTCGTGGGCCGCGTTCGCTTCCATCTCGTTTTGCGGCAAAGGCGGACTGGAGACAAAACGAGGGCAAACGAACACGAAGCGAAGGCGAAAAACACCGTTTAGGTTCAGCCTTGCTGGAGGACGCAATGCAGCGCGCCCTCTTCGCCCGAGGACGAGATCTCGCGCGCGACCGTGCCGTGCGAAACCTTGCCCGGCGCCCCTCATTTCGGGGCCGAGCGGTGAGGCCCTGGCCCTGTCGCGGACAAGATTTCGCACACTGCCCAGGCGTTGAACTTTCAGGAAGGAAACACACACCCACACACACACACACCCACACCCACACCCACACCCACACACCCACACCCACACCCACACCCACACCCACACACCCACACCCACACCCACACCCACACCCACACACACAATTCATCGTCGATCCCAGGAAAGGATGGGAACCTATGGGAAAAGGGGGGGAGACAAAAGGCCAGAGAACATGGGAAAATGTGGGGCAATCCTGCTGTCTGTGTGTATTTACTTGTGTCTCCCAGGGCCCCTTCCGTCTTCCTGTCCTCCGGCGCCGGCCGCCGACACTGCCCGCAGGGAGCCCTGGAAGGGCTCCAGACGGCCCCAGACACCCTCAAAGGATAGCCCCAAGACGCCCCAGGAGCGCCCCGACGCCGCCTACAGACTTTTTCAAGGGTACCCTGGGGTCCTTGCCTGCCTCAGCCTCTGCGGCCCGTCCCTAGCAATTTTCGCAGGCCAGTTTCTCAGGTTCCATGGGGGTTTGGCCGCCTGCCGCCCAGAATGCTTCAACTTCGGCCCCCAAGGGTCTTGCGTCCTTACCACGCGTCCTTACTATACGTTTTCTCTGTACGCCGGCTCCGACCCGAGCCCCTGGAGGCCCACCGAGGCCGCCACAGTGCGCGGCAGGACCGCTCGAGGGCGAGATTTCACGCGGGGTCTCGGCCCGAGGCCGAGCTTTATGACGTGAGAGCCCCGCGCCCCCCCAGCTTGAGAGCAAGATTCAACGCGAGGGTGGCATGTTAGATTTTGTCCGCGGCTCCTCCTCCTCCTCCTCCTCCTCCTCCTCCTCCTCCTCCTCCTCCTCCTCCTCCTCCTCCTCCTCCCGGGGTCCATCGCTGAGGCCTCCGGCCTGCTTGTCAGCGACAAGTGGGAAGCCCACGTGGCGCCTTACGTAATGGAATGCGCCTGGCGGCGCCCCCCTCCCCCCGCGAGTCCACGCAGTTCACGGGTCAGCCCCAGTCAGCTACAGCGCTGGGATCAGCGCGTGTGAGAAAGGGAAAGAGTGGCAGCCAGCTCTGGCGCTATTCAACGAGATGCGGGAGGCGAAGTTGGAGCCTGATGTCATTATCTACGGTTCTGGCATCAGCGCATGCGAGAAATGCGGACAGTGGCAGCGGGCTCTGGTACTCCTTAGTGGCATGGAAGAGGTGCAGTTGGAACCAAATGCTGTCTGTTGCAGTGCTGGGATCAGCGCGTGCGAGAAAGGCGAGCAGTGGCAGCAGGCGCTGTCTCTGCTGAGGAAATTCAGGGATATTGTAGCGGATCCGAACGTCATCCCGTACAGTGCTGCTATCAGCGCATGCGGGAGATGCGGGCAGTGGCAACAGGCTTTGGTGGTGTTCAGTGAAATACGGGAGGCGGCACTTACACCAGACGTCATGGCTTTCAGTGCTGGCATCAACGCATGCGAGAAGGGCAGGCAGTGGCAACAGGCGTTGTCTTTGCTTGCCGAGATGTCGACGACGAGGTTGGATCCAAACGTTATCAGCTACAATGCTGCGCTCAGTGCGTGCAGCCGATCTGGGCAGTGGAAGTCAGTGCTGTCGCTCCTTGGCCACATGAAGGAGTCTGAAGCCGAACTTGATGCCATGAGCTACAGTGCTGGGATGAGCGCGTGCGGTGCTGGTGGACGGTGGATGCTTGCGTCCTCGTTGTTCACCGAAATGGTGAAGGGGAGCGTTCAACTGAGCCGAATCGTCTACAGTGCAGGAATCAGCGCGTGCCGAAAAAGCGGCTGGGAGTGGGCACTGGTTCTGTTTAGAAAGATGGAGTCAAACAACAAGCGCAATCGTTGGGTGACCCCTGACGTGAAAGCCTACACGGCTGCAATCACGGCTTGTGGGTCGGGCGGGCAGTGGCAGCAGTCATTGAGGCTGCTCAGGGGAATGAAGGACGCAGGGTTGGATCTCGACGTGTTCAGCAGCACTGCTGGCATTCGCGCGTGCGAGAAATCAGGACAGTGGCAGCACGCGCTGGCGCTGCTAGAGGAGGCCTGGGATGCAGCCTTGGAGCCGAACGTCGGCAAGGCGCAGCTCCTGGCGCGTGCGCGAGAGCGGCCAGCAGTCTGAGTTGCCAGCTGCGCAGCGGCCGTGGAGCCCGACAACCCCTGACGACCCCCGTGGGCCCGTTCCGTGGCCCGCCGGGGGGCGGGGGGGGAACTGTGGCCGCGCGCTTGCCGTGCTCGGCGGCGAGCGGGGAGGGGGTGGAAGTGAGAAGGAGAAGGCCTTCTCAGAAGGTTCGGAAGTCCCCCGGGCCTTCTGGGGAGGTTTTCGAGGAAGGAGAAGCGCCACAAACCATAAACTGCTGTCGCTCCGCGCGGATTGCTTGGATCCGCGCTGTGCCCCCCAGGCGGCGCCTCCGGCGCCGCCCTGGCGCACTCCGCGCGCCGCTGGGGCCCAGCGCAGGTCATGTTTATGTTCATGGTATGTATTCTTCTTCTAGTTTCTCTGAGCCTCCCCCGAAGGCACAAAGAACCTCTCAGGAGGCGCGAGGGCTTCTGAGAAGCCCCGCCTTCTTCTTCTTCTTCTCGGACGCCTGGTGGTTTGTGGGCCATAACTCGGCTCTCCAGTGGCCGTTCGGGTCGATCCAGGCACCACCGGAGCGCTCTCGGCGAGGCGCAGCCGCTGGAACGCATTCAGAAGCAGGGAAACCGCCGAGAACCGACGAACACGTCCGAAAACCTCGAACCTCGATCCCGAAACTTCTCCTTCTCATGTCCTCCCTCGCTCGCCGCCGACGTGCTGCATTTGGCCCTTTGCCGCGGGAGAGCTTGTGCCCGCGGGGGCGGCGAGCGGGGGTCTGCTGGAGCGTGTGCAAATGGACGAGGTGTTTCCCTGCAGCTCGGAGATCAAGGTGGGCATCGTGCACTGCTGAAACATAACTGAAGTAAGGTCCAGTCTGGTGTTTCTGCTCTTCTTCTGATCATGGCCGCGTGTCCGAAGCCAGCACCTCCAGCGACGCCAGCATCTCCAGCGACGCCAGCATTTCCAACAGACGCCAGCAGTTCCAGGTGTATCCGCGGCGCCAGAGCTCCCACGACGCCAGCATCCCAGAGCGCCTCCTGAGCCCGGCAGCGGGGCCTAGGAGACGGGGGTCAGTGCAAACGGGGGTCAGCCAGGGCACTAGATCCTGCAGGATCCTGCGAAGACCCCCTCTGGCTGACCCGGGTTACCGAGCCACTCATGGCCGCGAGGCGGCCGCGCCGGTTGGCTGACCCCAGTTTGCGAAGACCTGCGCTGCAGTTGTTTTTCCTGCATTGCAGTTTTTGGTTTCCTGCTGACCCGGGTCTGCATTGACCCGGGTCAGAAGATCCCCGACGGCAGTCCTCCCGCAGGGGCGTCCCCGCGTCTGCGGGGGGGCCGGGGGGGTCGCGCCTGTTCGTGCTCCGCCACGGGGCGGGGAGGGCACGCCGCCTCTGGCCGGTGATCCGCTGGCTCTACGTGAGAGTGACCTTTCGCCGGACCCAGACATGATCGCGTCGTGTCTTTTTTGTTTGCTTATACATATATATACACATATTATATATACACATACGTCTACATATTTATATATATATACACACACCTATACGACCACCCTTCGGGTGATGAGGAGGTTCGGGGGGGGAGGATGCAGCGTCTCACTCGATCGGTCTCACTATCCATCTCACTATCGGTCTCGCTCGATCGATTTCACTCGATCGATCTCACAATCGATCTCACTCGATCTATCTCATTCGCTCGGTCTCACAATTGATCTGATTGTCGATCTCACAATCCATCCCACATTGGGTCTCACGATCGATCTCACTACCGATATCACAATCGATCTAACATTCAACGTCATCACCATCATCATCAACAACACCACCATCTCCATCGTCATCGGGACACTGTCATCTTCCCATCATCATCGTCGCCATCATCATCAACTCTATCATCATCAGGCCATTCTCATCAACGCCATCATCATCTCATCATAGTCATTATCGTCATCATCATCATCATCATCGGGACACAGCTATCGTCATCATCACCATCAAAATCATCATCATCATCATCATCGGGACACCATCATGATCACCATCATTTTCATCGCCAACATCATCAACAACAACATCGGGACACCATCATCATCATCATCTCATTATCATCATCAACATCATCAGCATCATCATCATCACCAACATCATCATCAATATCATCATCGGCGCACCATCACCATCACCATCATCATCACCACCGTCATAATAATCATCATCATCGGGAGACCATAATCATCATCAGCAGCACCATCATTACCAACATCATCATCAACAACAACGGGCAGCAACATCATCATCATCGTCATCTCATCATCATCATCATCATCAGCATCAACAATCATCATCACCAGGACACCATCATCGTCATCATCATCACCATCAACATAGCCATCATGATCATCATCAAAAACATCATTATCGGGACACCGACGGGGCACCGAGGGGACACCGGCGGGACACCGCGGGCCCCCGGCCGCCCGGAAGGGAATCATTTCGTCCGGCCGCGCCTCAGCCACACGGGACACCGACGGGACACCGGCGGGACACCGCGGGCCCCCGGCCGCCTGGAAGGGAGTCATTTGGTCCGGCCGCGCCTCAGCCACACGGGACACCAGCGGGACACCGGCGGGACACCGCGGGCCCCCGGCCGCCCGGAAGGGAGACATTTGGTCCGGCCGCGCCTCAGCCACAGTCTCTCGCCCGCCCACGCAGCTTCGCCTCGCCCGCACGGCACGCACGAACACGAAACCGACATCGATTTCCCGGTAGGGGGGCTCTCCGTTCCACTTCGATCTCACCCCCTCACCTCCGATACCGCATAGACCACCCTTCGGGTGATAAGGAGGTGAGGGGGGGGGAAGGACCAACGTCGCACTCGATTGATCTCACTATCGAACTCACCACCGATCTCACAATCGATCTCAATCGATAGATCTCACAATCGATCTGACGATCGATCTCACAATCAATATCACAATCGATCCCACAATCGATCCCACAATCGATCTCACATTCGGTCTCGCTATTGATCTCACAATCGATATCACAATCGATCTCGCATTCGATCTGACTATCGGTCCCGCTATCAAACTCACTATCGATTTCATTATCGATCTCACATTCGGTCTCACTATCGATCTCATTATCGATATCACAATCGATATCACAATCGATCCCGCATTCGGCCTCACGATCGATCTCTCTATCGAACTCACTTTCGATCTCATTATCGATCACACTATCGATCTCACTATCGATATCACATCCGAACTCACAATCGATCTCACATTCGGTCTCGTCATCGATCTCACTATCGAAATCACTACCGATCTCATTACCGATAGTGATGTCACTACTATCTCAATCGATCGATCTCACAATCGATATGACTATCGATCTCCCAGTAGATTCCACAATCGATCTCACATTCGGTCTCACTATCGATCTCACTATCGATATCACAATCGATCTCACAATCGATATCCCATTCGGTTATACAATCGATCTCCCTATCGATGTCATTATCGATCTCACATTCGGTAACACAATCGATCTCACAATCGATCTCACAAGCGATCTGACATTCGATTTCACAACCGATATCACTACCGATCTCACTATCGATCATCAAAACAAAACATCAACATCGTCATCATCATCATCATCACCATCATCATCATCATCATCATCATCATCACTATCATCACCATAATCGGGACACCGACGGGGCACCGGCGGGACACCGCGGGGCCCCGGCCGCCCGGCAGGGACACATTTGGTCCGGCCGCGCCTCAGCCACACGGGACACCAGCGGGACACCGGCGGGACACCGCGGGCCCCTGGCCGCCCGGAAGGGAGACATTTGGTCCGGCCGCGCCTCAGCCACAGGAGACTTTCTCTCGCCCGCCCACGCAGCTTCGCCTCGCCCGCACGCACGGCACGCACGAACACGAAACCGAAATCGATTT